GTGCTGGGATTAAAGGCGTGCGCCACCAACGCCCGGCAAGAATAAGACTTTCAAATGAAGCAAATGCGTTAATGTAAGGTACAGGGCTTTGGTCTGGCTAAGACACAGTTATAAAATATACACTAATATGCATGGTATCTCACGAAAGAAATATATCTATAAAATACTATCATCAATAAATAAGACACAAGTATGTCCCCAGTAAAAGGATCTTTTTACTGTGCATTATAAAAACCATTTTCAAGGTTAACATGGTTAGCTCTTCAATGACAATGCCCAATAATGCAGACTAGCAATACAGACAACTACACAAAGACTATGCTGCACTGCAAGCAAAGATACTGTCTGATCCCGAAACATCCACACGCACCCAGTCAAGACACACTCGCATTACACAGCAGATGCCTACAACCAGGGGAGAAAGTTTCCTTCACTCACTCAAAAGAATTAAGAAAACTCTTTAACAATTTTCATTTAGAAAATGATATCTCTTGAGAAATAACTAAAATTCAATGTAGCTATATAAAGTCTTGATTTTAATCAGTGTTTTTATAGATCTCAAGTCAGTTATGAGAAGACATGACTTTAAACATAGTATATATTTCCAAAATTATATTTTTATTTATGTATTGAAGAGTTTTCAAAACTAGTTAGCAGGCTATTTCAAGAAATGTTATGAAAAGGAGCGGGATCAGAGTAGTTCTTAAAACTTACAGTCTTACTTATGGAATATACGCTGCATTAAAAACTGTTAATGACTAACTGGAGTAGGGGCGGGTGAAGCTTTGGAGCAGAGCACCTGATTATCTTGAAGAGGACACTGGGATCAATCCCCATGCCCTCCTGCCCCCAATAATCAAAACAAAAGTTACAAAAACTGCTGTAACACTATCACCAATAAGTTGGCTTTTAATATTGCATTATGCTTTATGAAAATTACATGGTATATAAAAATAAAAGAAAAACATCCATCACACTGTTCTTTTCATATCAGTAATTGGTACTTTAAGTTCTGAAGTAACATTTTAATACATTTTATTTTGAAGTATAAATTGTTAAATTATTTGAACTTATTAGAATAAATATATATAATGCAGTTTCCATCTTAAACCTACCTTTGTAATATACATTTTAATGGCAGTAATCACCTCCATATATTTAGCAGCATTTTCTACTAAAACAATGTCTCATAATAAGATGAAAATAGGACCAACTGTAGTATACAACAGCAGAAAGCACAAAAGCATTTTTAAAGCAATTTCCTTACTTCGAAAATGCTTACTAAGAAACTGACACTATTCATATAAAAAGAGGAAAAGGAAGAAATCCAAGTGATAAAACAAGCTGATTCAAACAGCATGAGCACATACATGTCTAAAAACAAATCAGAATGCAAGATATTTATTCACAAGTTTATCAGAAAAACAGGAGATACGCTAGTTAACTTTCACAGAGCTGTAAATCATGGACATGCACACAGCTAGCAGTTTTAAGAATGCCAAGACTAGTCTAATTGCCTTCTGTAATTATGTGACCAACAACCTAAAGCAAAGGCAACGTTTTTGAACATCATACTGTATGAAACAAAAGGGTCTACATGACATCCAATATATATGACTACACAGGACAATTGATATATACATAAACATGGCAATACAGACAAGGATGTATTTTATACATAAGTAGTAGTTTGATGGTTCTTCCATACCCTGGAAGTTTAAGAGAAAGTAAAGAGCCTGATGTGCCAATGAGTTAAAAGAGAACACTACAGAAATGTCCTTAAAGCATATCAATAAGCCAGGTAACTTAGACTAAGGTTAAAGTTTATGTAGGTAACATATGTTCTGAAGTACGGAAGACTGAAATCTTCCAGTACCAGAAAGAACAAACATTCCATAACACAGTTAATACTAGTTGCATTTCTAGAAAATGTTCCTATCTTCCCAGCTGAGGTGGGGGTAAGGGAGTAGGACATATGAACCTTTAAGCACCACACTGATGACATCTTCACATAAATGAGGAGAAAAGAGACCATTTATTTTTATTATTTGCTTATCTTTATAATAAAAAATTACACCAGTAAATTCCTAGTTATAAAAAAACTCTTTTGTAGTAATATTTTAAAAACTTTATAGTAGTAATTCTTAAAATGTACTCACCCTGAACCATGTAAAACACAAATATCAGGAGACAGTGTCTGTGAACAGGCTGCCCTTTATACAGAGCAAGCAACTGTCACTGTGGCGTGGACTGTCTTAAAATATCTCTCACCAAGGCTTATCCTTGATGCCTGAAATTCTTGGACAGTTGGTGTCAGCTAGAAGCACCAGGAAACTTACATTTCTCATTACTGTGATGGTGTAATATTTTATGCTAAGTTTTTTAATAGAACCTTTCAATTCTTTACAATATGCCAGTGCTAGTGTACACCTTTAATCTCAGCACTAGGGAGGCAGAGACAGGTGGATCTCTGATTTAAGCCAGCCTGGTTGGACTACACTGTGAGTTTCAGGCCAGCAAGAGCTACATTGAGACCCTGTCTCAAAAACAAGGAAGCAAAAGTGAAAATCAAGGCAGGAATACAGGTAACAAAACAAAGGTCTGCAGCTGAGACAGGACAATGACTACAAGTCAGAGGTCAGCATGGACATACAGAGTGTGACCTTATGGGACAGGCAAGTGGGGTAGGAGGGAGCGACAAAAAGCAGGATGAACAGCTGGCTACACATTACTGCAGAAAAGAGAAGACAGGATGCGTAACCAAGTCCTTGGAGGCAAGTAAGGATTTTCTTCCCTATTCTGCATTATAATGTTTCATAGCCAGCTATATATGTGTGTGTAAAAACTAAATTTTTACTTCTAAAATAATCTTTACCAATTTTCATTTTTTAATTTCAACCAACATTTTGAGTGTAGAAAATTTCAAAAGTACATAGTGATTAAACTTATCTCTAATTTCTTCACCTTATAAAACTAATGTATTAGTTTAATGTGCATATGAAAAACAAGTAAATATAATAAAATTTGGGAATGTACTTCCCTATTTTTTATGATTATGTTTCCATGTAGTATTCTTGTTAATAAATATAATAAAACACATTTTGAAAATTAGCACTCTCTTCATTTTCATTGTAACAGGAAACTATTTTGATTTGAAGCCTTCTTTTACTAGAGAACATTTGAAAAATCCTTTCTTCCAAAAAGCATATACATAAGTCTCCCGTACAGTTGACTTTACTGCTTTGAATTCAAAACTTGAAAGATCTGAGAAATTGAAACTGAAAATTAAAATGAAACCTAATATGGTCAAAGCATTAGATTTCCTCCTGCTTACAAAGTTGCAAAGCATACACTCATGTCTTAGTACTCATCCCGTGTGAGTGAAATTCTGTAAGCTCTGAATGCTTTAATTTCAAGTGGAGTGTAGGAATCCTCACCCTTCTGGGCCCAGGAAAAAACAGACCCTTGGTCGAATTGGACTCAGCAAGCCTTTGGAATTTGTTTTAAAAGATGTTGTTATGTTAGTGCCAAGGAGATGGATGGCTCAGCAAGCAGGTAAAGGCACTCGCCACCAACCCTCGAGACCTGAGTCTGATCCCAAGACTCACATGGAAGAACATGTATACACATTCACACACAAAATAAGTATGGAAAAAAGTTGTCTTACTTCCTGCCCCATCTTTCAATGATATGATATATTATTAATTATTTAACAGAGGTCTGGAGGGATTGGGGATGTAGCTTAATGCTACAGTGTCTAAGTAGCATGTGTAAGAGACCCTAGGTTCAATCTACAAGCAACATACAACTAAAAAAAAGACAGAAAATAGAAACAGAAAACCAGAAGTCTCTAGTGATAGATGTGAGAAATGTTCTTGTCTCTTAGAAAAGGAGCAATTATTAATTCCTTTAATGGGAAATTTGGCAACAGAGAACTAATAAAAAGTGAATGTGGTGAGAGAGAAAAAAATAAGAGACTGAAGGAAAATGTAGAGATATACCATCTATCCAACACTGTACAAAATGTAAGCTGGGCTAAACCTTTCAATTTAGGGTGTAAAGAATTCTTATGAAGCAAACTGTACAAAGAAAGTTTTCTGTATGAAAAGTATGAGTTTAAAATTGGTTAATTAAAATGTTTGATTTAATTCTTCTTAAGGGCCTACTGTGGTCTATACACTTCATATATTTTCCACTATATTTACCTGCATACAGATGAGAATACAAGATACTAGATTAAGGAAGGGATATAACTTGGTAATACAGTACATACTACACTATATATATATATATATATATATATATATATATATATATATATATACTAGATAAGGAAGGGAGATAACTTGGTAATACAATATAGTATATACTTAGCAGGAAATAAGCACCGAGTCAATCCCTACCACCAGGGGCAGAGGAAAAAAATCAAAAAGACAAAAAAACAAAACAAAACAAAAAACCTACTTTAGGGAGTCACATTTTTGTAAAAATAGTGAAACCAAGATTCAAAGATAAGCGTGTTCTGTGAAAAGGCTATACCCTTTCCACAATTCCAACCAGGCTTAAACTTCAGGTTTAATCTACTTTTCATAAACACATTACAATTCTACAAAGCAATCAATATTCCACCAGTACAACAGGAAAGCATGAAAAAGAATCTACTACATGGGTAAGACATTTAGAGCAACAAACGCAAAGATTTAAACAGTTATTCATTGTTTTTGGAAAAATACCAATGTCTAAAATACACATTTCTAGCAATATTCTAAAGAGTACTGTTATTTTTCTTTAAGCAAAACAGATTCCATCATTTTTCTCTCAAGACAGACTTGGAATCAATTATTTCAATTTTTCAAACGGATTTTCTTATCAAAAATAGCATTATATTTTCAATTTCAAAATAATTTCGCTGTAATCAATTAAAATAACAACAGGTGATGTTCCACTATAGCTTTTTGTTCTTTGGAAAGGTTCTTCGGTTTCTTTAGGTTTTTATTATTTTGACCTTATGGAGAACTGACTTTATTCTTGACATGTTTTTTAAACATTGGAAAGAAAAGACTTGTAGAACAATGTAGAAAAGATACATAATAAAAATACTATCTAGTTAGTAAGGTTATACTATTAGTTTCCTTAAAAAAAATCAAAGAGGCATCCATGGAGAATGTGAATGCATGGAATGAACTCTTAAGTACTCTTAATTTTGATTATGAAAAGGAATTACAATTGACCACTACTTCACACATTAACATAATCTAAGCTTTCTGCTTTACAAAAGCAAAAATATTCTAAACCATAATTGACCATCACCTAAGTCAATAAAGCATGAAAAAAATCTGGATTTAGAAAGCAGGTTTAATAGGTTAGTTGCTTATTAAAGACTGTCTTACAGTAAAATAGATCTAAACATCTGAGTGTTTTTAAACACCCTAGTACGTGAAAACAAATTATTGTTAACTTACAAACAATCAAATTTCCTGCCACACCAATCTACAACCAAATGATCAGCCATGCTCTTAACACCTAGAATAAATGACAAACATTCCATTCACAGGGACAGCTTGAAAACCACCTTAAGACCCGGATCCTGACAGGGTAACAAGTCCGTCAGATGTGGTGTCTGTTACAGGTATACTGTGAATCCAGTTCATTCCCAATGTCTCAACAAAAATTTTTCCTCTGTAGAGGACAGTCATTTGTCATAAAAGAGCCTGGGGACTTTACAATCAAGTTCCAGCTACCACAGGTCCCAAATCCTGATTTGGAGTATAAGGCAAATCAGTGTTTGTCAACATTTAGTCAGACCTTGGAAGTGGAATAAGTTTCTGGATAATCCCTTAGGTCTCTTACTGGTGCTCAGGCAGCAGACAATCCCCAGGAGCACAGCCCTCCCTTTGGGAAAGATGTTCACGCGTTTCTACTCAAAGCCTAAGAAGCGAGCCGCAGAGATAAACACCACTGTACTAGGGAGAGAGCCGGTCCCGACTTTCCTCCCAACGGAAGGCGGGCCCCGGGCCTCCCCGCCACCTCCACCGCAGCTCGGGGCGGGAAGCGGCCCGGAACCGGCAGGGAGGGGGAGGCAACCTGGCCGGTTCTATGGAAACCGGGGACGCGGG